GTGCCCCCCCTCAAATGGGAAAAGTGGGGGGTTATGCTGAAGCTTCCTGTGTTTTAGGGTTCTGCCCTCAAAATGCCCTTGTTGCTGGCACAGCGCGCGATGTGCCAGGCTGAGCTTCTGAACCTCTGCCCGTCTCTTGTGCTCTTTCCAGTGCACAGCACTTCATTACTGGCCTGTAATCTGTAATTGTCCGTGACAGTGAAAATACGAAAAGAAAAGGATTTTCCTTTGCAGTTTGCACTTAACCTAGCATATTGATTCTGCTAAGTTGCTATGGAGGAGTCCTAGGGGAGAGGGAGAAGCCCAGGCTCATGAAGTTCCTCTGCAAAATTTAAAATGCAAAATTAAATGTACCTCAGATATTTTATAGACTCCCCTTATCTCTGCTGTTCCCAGCTTTTAAAATGCAGGAATATTAGTAATGCTGGAGCAGGCATAGCAGAATTGTGGGAAAATTCAGTTCCCAGTTCCAAGAGTGTTGTTTTGTAATAATACCACTCATTTCTATGTACTGTTGTTCACTGAAAATGCCGTAGCCTGGGTCAGCTTTTTGACCTGAACTGTGGCAGTAGGGGCGTTATGTTTTGCATTGCAATTGCAGTATACACTACCTGAACTGTAGCTCTTCTTTTCTTCCCACAGTTTTAATTAAACTAGAAATGCAATTACTGCAGAGGACAAAAGGCATTCTCTCTCTCAGTCTGGCCATGTTATTAGAGTGGATGCATTTTCTGGTGTATTCCAAATGCTCATGGCAAAACTGAGTAATGATGTACTGTATAGCCTTAAAGCTTTCTTGGCCAACAAGAAATGCGTGACCACAAAACCTCTGTCTTCTTCTGTTCTTTCCCTCTCCAGTGAATACAGAGGTTTGATCAAACACACAGGAGGCTGCCACTGCGGAGCTGTCCGCTTTGAGGTCTGGGCATCACCAGATCTGCATGTTTTTAACTGCAAGTGAGTATTTTTTGGTTTCCTACTCTAATATACAAATAAAGCTCAGATGTCTTTCTAGTGCCTTAGAGCTAAGGATACATAATACAATGGCAGAACATCCTCTGACCCGTTTCCAAAGGGTATGTTTCTAATCATGTCCACACCCAGCATGGGATCAGCGCTGGTGATTTCAGGTGCTGGTTCTCTGAGCAGGACTTCAGGTTTAACATCCATGCTCGTGCAGAAAGTGAGAAAGAGAGATCTAATGACTACAGGTGCTGAGCAGTGCGCTCAAAACACATCAATCCTTTTTTAAAAAATGTGATCTTCCCAGGTAAATGCTAAATCTCTGACCACATGTGCTTCAAACTGCAGTAGTGTTCAACAGCCATCCTTTTGCCTATAACTGGTTTGCTTCTATCTCATGTGTAAGGGCTGATTATTATTTTCTTGTTTGCAAAGTAATTAATGTAGGCAAAGTTGGCAAACTTTGGTCTGAAAGATTAAACTGATTTCTCAGGGCTACAGTTTGTCCTTGATACGTCTGTTGAAAGTTGTCTATGTGAAGAAAAAATGGCATATAATGTTTAGTGAATGCCTTATCTGTGTACCTGGGTAGAGTCTGTTCCACGGGTGTGCTTAACCAAACATGCTACTGATATCGTGCGTCTGCTCTTGCTACTTACCTCTGTGATGTTAGCCAGGAGCCATTTTAGCTGTCAGTGGAATTTCTGTTGTCAAGAGGTCCATGGTAGATCTGATTGTTGCAATTTGTCCACCGCTTCTAGAAAAGCCTTCATCTTTCTCTTTTACAGTTGCAGCATTTGCACAAAGAAACAGAATAGACACTTCATCGTCCCAGCTTCGCGTTTCAAGCTGCTGAAGGTAAAGTAAGAATGCAGTAAGAGCATGGGGAACATAAACAGAAAGGAATTACCTAATCCATGTGATCCAGTGTTACCCTGAGAAATGCCAGTGACACCCAGCCTTCTATCTTAGCCTTGCCTGCAGCTGGTTGGGGAGAAATGGTTGACTCTTATGCCGTTTGGTGTGGGCGTGTTAGGGCCTACCATTCAATGAGCTGAAGTTAAAGCTCTAGCAGTTCTGAGGCTTGACTGGGACGGCCACGTGTATGTACAGAGCACAGATGTTCAGAAAAGGAGCACAACTGCAGAACTCTATATCTAAAATAAAGAAACAGAAAGTGGTATTTTTAACTTTACATTTCTTAGCCCACAGAAAGCAATGAATAAATCAATTTATGTAGAAAACCTACACTGCTTTTCATTTCTGCTTAGGGTGCTGAAAATCTGACAACATACACCTTCAACACACATCGTGCTCAGCACACGTTCTGCAAGACCTGTGGTGTACAGAGCTTTTATACTCCTCGCTCTAATCCAGATGGTTACGGTAGGTAGAAAGAGGAAACCTGACAAATTGTGGTAACCAAAATTGACCACCGAGCAAACTCTGGATAAGGACCCCATTGGCTGGTAACATGCCAGAAACGTGTGTCTTTAGAGTTTGTTCCTAAAGTGCTGAACATCTAGAAACTGCAGCCTGAACTTGTGGCTCCTCTGTAAGAAAACATCGTACCAAGACTTGTGGGAGTCTGCCCACGACAGGTTTCTCATCTATGTACCTCAGCTTTGTAGCGTTAGTTGGACTAACAGATTTACCATCCCCTGAGATGGCCGGTCCAGAGTGGTGCAGACATCTCCCAATCTTTAGCTATGAAGAGCAGGTTTCTATCTACTCTCTTTCCTCAGGAATAGCTCCCCATTGCCTGGATGATGGCACTGTGCACAGCATTGTCATAGAGGATATCAATGGCAAGGAGTGGGAGAAGGCAGTGAAGGAACATAAGACCATCAGAGACATGTCAAAACCCTGACATGCCTTCCCAGCAGCTGAATGTGGAGCATCGCCGTGGAACTGTAGTTTGGGCTTTCTGTGGTGAGGGTTAGCAAAATCAGTCTCTTCGTTGTTGTTGTCATTATCAGCTTTCTGTTTCTTAAATAAACCTTTGTATGCTGCCTGTCCTGTCCATCTGTGACTTTCTTTTCAAACTATCTCTACTCCATAAGCCACACCAGGGTTGTTGTTTTGGTACTTTCCTCTTAACTGTGCTGAAGTTTAAATCGCAGTATGCAGAGCAAAGGTGAGAAAAAATCGAATATTGGCTTGTATGCTTGGCTTGTATGGACATTTCCCAACTGTGTTTCAAGTCTGGCTTATAAAATTGTCCTATACAAGATAATCTCTTGCTTAGGACATAATACTCATTTACACTGGTCTTTCTCCATTGACTTCAACGAAGTTACCACGGATTTAGAGTTAAAGGAGATTTGCAAGAGCTTAGTGGGCTCAAGTTCAGCAAAGCATTTACACAGGTGCTTGACTGTGTGCAAGAAAGGGGCCCCTGAAGTTATGCATGTGATTAAGTACTGTTCTCCTTAAGCCTGGACTTACTCATGGTCTGAAGGCTGAGTAGGCATACTCTTAGGCACTGATTCACGGCCAGGGAACAGAATCCAATCCTGTCATACTTTTATAACAATGGGCATGTCCTTTTAGTACAACCAGGAAATTGTTTGCTGTGTTTGGGATGATGATGCACGCACAGCAAGAGACCAGGAGCTGGGAATTTGGGATCTGATCTTGACCATGCAGTGACTACCTGTGCAGATGTAGGAAAGATGCCTCCTGCAGTTGTGAGCACACCTTATTAATGAGTGCAAGCACTACAGAAATGTTGAATACCGCTGACTTTGCTCCAGTATGACCCTGTGAAAACCAGAATCACCAGTAAAATCTCTGTATAGACTAAGAAATTAAACCACTGAGAGCTGGCATCTCCTCCACTTACCTTTAAACATAAAGGGAGAGGATCTTTAACCCCTGCATTTGTCTTTTAGATAAAATGAACAGCTTTTGAAACATCTCTTGCAATTTTTATCTCCGCCTATATGTATTCAGTTAAAGACTTAGTTACAGTCTGGCTATCTTGTGCCTCATTCTTACATCCTGTTGAGACTCTTGTGAGTTGATCTCAAACCCCATGTTCTGAAGCAAGAAGAAATGCCAGTGTTTCACGAGGGACACTCTGGGAAGGTCAAGCCTGCAACATAATGTAGCTGAAAGAAGCAGTGCAAGCAGCAAAAATCAGTGCAATTAGAGAAATTTGCATCATTTCTGATGTTTTATTCAAAAGATTCATCTTTTAAAAGTCCTGACCAACTAATGCAGGTCCTGTGGTCCTGGTTTTATCTGTGGTGATGGCATGATCTTGGAAAAGTCACTCTTGATATTTGGTTTTTACAAAATCACCAAGTAAGAGGTAGAGCTTGTCAAGCAGTCTTCGCAGCTATTTCTTCCTGGTTTGTGCCAGTTTGTGCCATATCTTATGTCATGCAGAATACCATTTGACTCCTAATTAGGTTAATCCAAATCTCTTATCCTAGTTAAGCTTCTACAGTGAGAAAATAGAATAGCTGTTGAACCCTGTTCATCTCTCAAAATATCAGGCAACATGTTATTCAGGAGGAAGTTCATACAGCCTGTTGTTTGCAGTCTGAAAGAATGCTATACGCAGAGAATCCTGTCCTCTTGAGTGCCTAACAGGTGAGTTTTCTTCAGTGCTTGGCCTGGCAAAGTTTTTTTTCGACTCATTCTTTCATACCTGAAGGTGCGTTGAGTATTGTCTGTTTACAGAAGGTGGAGTGAATTGATCACCATGTAACGTGAGAATAGCATGTAGAGGTGGCGAAACCAGAGGAGCTGGCTGCGATGACACCGCATGGCTCTCTAGAAGGAAAAATAGTTAAGAAAGCTTTACAAGAACCTTCCAAACCTAATGTTAGCACAGCTTCTTAGGCCTCCTGTGAGGCTCACTACCAATTTATGGGACAGCCTGTTTTCAGCAAGCAGGGAAGGAGCAGTCAGGGGTGGAAGGCTGCCTGTTTTGTAGGGCCACAGGGCAAGGAGAAGCCTATCTGGCCCTTACGTGGTTGGTGCTGTGCTGCCTAGTGTTCACATGGGTCCTGCTAGACAGGACACTACCAGCTGCAAATGGGTGCTGCGACACTCCTTGTCACATAACTCCTCCGCACTATGTGATCTCATGTCTGGGTGTTCACGTGCTGGGGAAGCAGGAATTAGATAGGTGTGCATCTGAGAACACTTTGCATGCTGCTTCCGATCATACACTGCCAGTTGAAACTTCAGTGAATCTATTTATAGTGCACCAGCTTAAAAAGGTCAAATTCCAGGAATAAAAAGCACAAAGGAATAATGGTACCTTTATCAGAACAGTTTCCATACATAGCACTTTCTTTTGGTAGCCTCAAAAGCAGGAAAGTTCTGGGCATGTCGTTTGTGGAGTAGCAGGACTGTTTGCTGGGCAAATATCTACATGCTATGGAAGGGGATCTAATCAGATTTTTATATAGGAAACTGTGGACCAAAATGTGTGAGATGTCACACAGTAAAATAATCAAAAAAATACTCAGTAGAGAAGGGAACTTGTTAAGAGCTTTGGATCATGAGTACACAAGCTGTCTCCATCTTTAGTTAAACCTGTGATCCAAGGACACTGTTCCTAATACATAGTCATATCAGTCTGAGATAGGTCAGTCTCACATTCAGAATACTGTATGCTGGATCCAGACTCCTCTGAAATATATCTTACAATCTGGACACAGTGTAAAACCTAAGCAAAACTTAGGTAGTCAGGGCACACTGACTACCTAAGATCTCTGAGCTGCAACTCTTCTCAACCCTGCCATGCCGTCCACACAGCACATGGTGCAACCTGTCCATTGATGTTTCATAAATTACTGAAGATTGCCCATATGTGACATTTATAATCCACGTGCACAATTATTTGTAACATTCTCTGTGAATGTAAAACTTCTGACTAAAGCCTTTACAATGATGATGAGC